GGCACGAGCTTCGAGAAGGAGTTGGCAAACCTAGAGCGAGCCGAGCGAGCCAGCCAGTTTTGGCACCCCCCCAGCAGTTCATTCTTTGTCCAGGTGTTCGGACCATAGAAGATGAACAAAACAACACCCTATTGGTCAAATATTTGGTGCTCACCTCCCTTATTCTTGGAGCTTGCTTTCATTTATGGCGCGCCTCAAGATCTCCGCAGCAAGCAGCCTCAATGAGCGGCGGCTCTCCTGACAGGTCCGCTGCGTTGGGATCTGCCCGCGCCTGGCGGCGCTGCGTCACCACGGTCGAATGGTGAACTTCACGAGGCGACGCATGACTTTCAGGACTAGTAGCTGCTTGTTACTAGTAGCAAGATTGCTCCTAGTAATGATGCCAGGAGCTACTAGTAGCGCCCTCCTGTGCTCCTACGAGCGCCAGTAGTCGTAGCTTCTTGTGTCCAATACGTGGCTGGTTCATGCTGGTTCTGGACTTGCAATTTCCGATCTGGTTTGGTTCTTGGACACCTCTTTGCAATGTGAGCTGAACAAATCTGATAGCTCAAAATTGTGGAAATTGGATGAAATTGGCAAGTGCCAATGTGCCCATCGGAATCGCTGCAGGACTGTGTGCCTGTAGTCTGTAGTAGAAGTGGTGGCTTTTCGGGAGTGGGCAAGTGGAAAGCCAAGTTTTGCACCTCTGGCATCATTGATACTGAGTTGGTTTAGAATAGGTGAGTGTTGCCTTCCCCTACCAACAGACCTGACTCGCAACACAAAACAAAGCATTGTCAATACTATTGAAGGGCCTAGCTCAGGCGCAGTGCTGCAATTTTCTAGCACGGGTACATAGCCAGTCTGAAGACTCAAATTTCAAGTGCTGGTCCAGCTGTTTTTGAACCCGGGAGCCCTAACTAAAGATGAATGCCCTGCCCATATTCCCACTCACTCGCCACTTTTTGTTTTCGAGAACAAACACATTGCCCGGAGCCAGTCCCCCTGAGCCACTTTGCACCTCCAAGAGCTTCCGCATCGGACCTTGGTCCATCCGGGATCGGTCGGGGTGTCATCGCAGGTGGCCTGAAACATGACCAATCCGGTGCAACCATCTGCACCAAACCGTCTGGACTAAGAGAATCCCCCCTCATTGTCCTAAAGTACAGAACCAAAAATAAACCGTTACAACCTATACCGGACAAAGAAATCAATTACAGTATTCTTGCACCTCTTTTCTGGACCGCGGTCTGGCGCCTTTTCTTTGCCTCGTCGCTTTCCAACGTTCCTTCCGAGCCTCCGCGCGGAACCACGGCCCGGTCACCGACGCACCGCTGGGGCGCTCCATGGCGGCGCGGCTCGCCAGCCTGGCGGAACAGCGCTGGAAACGGAGTAGCTTCTTGCTCCTAGTAGTAAGGCCAGGAGCGCCTAGTAGCGTCCTTGTTCCTAGTAGCTTCTAGCTCCTAGTAGTAAGGCCAGGAGCGCCTAGTAGCGTCCTTGTTCCTAGT